TATACTATCAGCATGACTGATATTAAATAGTACTGATGACAGGAAGCAAACTCCTTCCAACTTTTGCTTAGAAAACAAATCCCACAAGACAGTAGGACATGGAACAGGTTGCACTGGATTACATGTTACCAGTAGCAGGGTGATCATGAAGACTATACACCAGACCTGACTTGAACTTCCAACTCTAATAAAGGTGTTTTCAATGAATAAAAGGTTTATGGTTTGATGAGTGCTTCTACTATATTTAACCCTTAGTGATAAAGTGTTATGTGTTACACCTTATATGTACACATGTGGACATATTTTTTTACATCTTCTATGTAGACATTTATTACACCTTATATGTATACATCTGTACATACATTTTTTTAAAAGTTTGAAAATAATTTAAGTAACCGTGCACATTTTTTTTTTTTTTAAAACAGGGTTGACATTAAAAAACGCGCCCAATAAAACTCGCAAAAAACTGTTGTAATCAACTTTAACCTTATAACTATAATATTATTAACTAAAATAATTATTAACTTTTATTATTAACTAAATTATTATTAACTATAATTATTAACTAAATTATTATTAACTATTATTGTTAACTAAATTATTATTAACTATTATTATTAACTAAATTATTATTATTACTATTATTATTAACTATTATTATTAACTAACTATTATTATTAACTACTATAACCAACAAAAACAGCTATCAGAGCAGGTTTACTAATATTCAAATCATTATTTGGAAATACATTATTACAATTTTTATTGATTGAGATTTTTTAATTTTCACCTTAAATTCACCTTCCAAGGTGAATTTAAATGAGTTGTAGTGGCCAGAGAAGCCCACTACAGTCGAGGAGGCTACCTTATTGTGGTTACAACCCTCTCTCGACTCTTTAACTCCAAAACACTTTATATTTATAAACAAGGCCAAGAATCTATATAAACAAGGCCGCTACGCGGAGAAACAAGTTTGTTCATTTGAATTTCAAGTTCAAAGTTTAATTGAAACTTCAGTTACTTCCTCCCATTATCTAGCCTTCTTTTTTCCATTTCTCATTGACATTTTTAGTTATATAGAATAATACTTTTAAACTAAAAAAAAAATCAATACATATAGATTTAAAGTGTAGTTTTTTTTTTCTGTTACAGTTTTAAATTATATTTAAAAATCTTTTTCAAAATAATTTGAAAAATTCTTTTTATAAATTATTAAATAACAAATATAAAATATATTATAAATAAAGTTAAAGTAGAAAATAAAACTAATTTTCAATATCATTAAACAAAAAAACAATTTTTTGAATTTAAACAAAATTTTTTACAGAAAAGAAATAAAAATAAAACCCAAAAAAACACAAATTTACCCAATAAAACCCAAAATTACCCAAAAAAATCTACTGGGCCAGGTTTTTTAAAAAACCTAGGTTTTTGTCAACCCTTACTTAAATTATTTTAAACTTTTGGAAAAATAAAATTAATCGAGACTTTTTTTTTAAATTCTATTTAAATTACATTGCATATATAAAAAAAAGATTTAAATATTATTTTGGTACCAAAATCAATAATAAAAAAAACCATGTCAAAAAATATAATAAAAAATCAAGCTTTAATTCAGTATTTACCACGACATGCAATAGAGGCTCATATACGTTTTGGTGTAGATTCAATCAGATGCATTTGTTCTAAATTTATTTAGCGCAAGTTTCAATTGTGACATGTTTTCCACATTCTTTCTGGATAATTTCTTGTACATTTATGACCTAATATTTTAAATCTGGTGATTGTGCTGGCCAGGGTAATAGAGTAATGCATTGTCTTCAAAATCACTTATTCACCGAGTTGGCTGTATGTGCTGTTGCGCTGTCTTGTTGGAAAATACACTTTTTACTCCTAAAAAATAATCTAGCAGTAGGTAAAAACTTTTTTTGATTTTTGTATTTATACAGGTGCTTGTACTTTTGGTACACTAAATCTTTCTTTATATTTCTTAATAATAAATTTCCTTAATAATAAATCTTAACAAATAACCACTTCAAAGTTCAATTTATCACTAAAAATGATCTTAAAAAAATCTTCTACTGACCATTGAAGTTTTTCCTCACACCAACTATATCTTTTAATCCTATCTGTAACCCTTAAAAGTGGTTTTCTGGCAGCAACATAACAATTGGCACCTTTTTTATTATGGCACCTTCTAACTGTGCTGTAACTAACGCTAACATAAACTCAGCTGGTTAATCTTATATTTCATTTTAAAGTTTGTAGTTTTTCAGCGTTGTTTGGACACAGCTTAGTGAAATACCACATAATTTTGCTATTCCCTGTTGACTTTTTGTGTTATCTTCAGACAAACTATTTGTCATTTGACTTTTTGTGATACTAATTTTCTGCTTATTTTTCTTCTTCAGAAATTGATTTCAACATGAAGAGTAAGATATTTACTATTGATAACACTATGTTTATTTTCATTAAATTTTCACTTTTTTTTCTGCTCCTGGGTTGAAAATGTGTTTTTGTAACCTGTTAGGTCTAGAACAAAAAAGAAAATTGCTGTTATTGCAGAAAAAAGTTCTTCTGTGACCCGGACAATGAAACTTAGAAAATTGCATGTTTTTGAGAAAATTCTTGATTGGCTTTCAATGCCGAGCTTCCTCCAATAATATTCTTGAACTGCTAGAGTTGTCCAGATGTTTCTACAATTTTACTAAACACTCTAGAACGCTCAAAAAACTTCCAGAACTTCCAAGAAACTCTTAGAACTTTCTAGAACATTCTTTAAACGTTCTTTAAACGTTCTTGAACATTCCAAAAGTAGCTGTACAAGTATAAAAGCACAAATGTCTCAAAGAACAAGACAAAATGTCAGAGAACAAGACAAATCTTGTGCACTGAATTTCACAAGCAAATATTGCAAAAAAAACATTTGAAGGTAAACTGAATAGTTGCTTCTGGCTTTGATGTGTTTTAATTTATTTCCTGCAATTTTGGCGAGAGCCAATGGTCCAAGCAACTGCTCAATCTGCATGGTAAACCCATAAATATTGTCAAATAGACAAAAATCACCTCAGATCGTTTATCCGAACATACCTTCTTCCATGGACCCAGTAACACAGCTCCGATCTGCCTGTTCTGACTCCTCCTAGGCGTCATTTGCCATCTTCAAGAGACAGCAACAAGTCAGATAGTGAGGCAGATACTGAAGATATGGACTACAATTCCACAGATTAAGATGGGAATAGAAAGTCATACTTAGACGTGAACAACTTAATTAAGAATTTCAGGCTTACAAAATTGAATGCTTGGTTGATGATAGGGTATAAGTCACGGATCAGAGGAAGCGGCATCAAAGATTCTCAGACTACTTAGGTCAGTGTGATGGGGTGTGCTTCTACAAGGATGTTGCCTGTCGATTTTAGTCTATAGGTATTGCATGTAATCCTATTGAATGGCTGTCAAGGATGAACTGTCTATTTATAGGCAGTATATCCTAGAACTTCAAAGCTGTATTGCTTTACAATGGAAACAACTACCCATCTCACCCAATGGCCTACTCTGTGCATCTCAATGAGTACTATACCAGTGTCAAAATGTTGCTGAGTCATTAAAGTATAATGACTAAGAATGGGAGGTCATCAGCAACTTTAAAATGGCATTATTTCTCATGGGTCTTCAAGGAGGTTTAATGAAATTTTCTTCTATTTTTGTCTCTGGAATAGTCGTGACACTAAGGCACATTATCTCACTAAGGACTGGCCACAATGGACTGAGTTTTCACAAAAAAACCTTTTTTCATGCTGTTGTCTAAAAAACCACTCATCATTATATTGGGCAAATAGACAGCATTCTTGATAATTATCCATAGATTTTATTATTTTATCATAGACTTTATCATCAAAAGTATCATCTATGAAATTTATTTTTCTTAAGGTTTCTGATAAAAGCATTGGCAGGTTAAATGACATTGAAAAACTTCATAATCCATAGTCCACATCGGGAACAAAATGCACAGGCTCTTTTCAAGAATTCAACATTGATTATTCAATATGTAATATATAAAAGTTATTTGTAGAAAATACTTACCTTGATTTTTTTTTTTTTGGTACATTTGTTTTGTTGATACATTTATAAAAAATTTTGTTGGTTTTAAAATGGCTTTTATTTTTCATTAAAATTTATTTTTAATTAAATTTGTTACTGTATTAATGTAAACTCAGTGTGTACCAATGCTCCCCCTGCTATGTACCAATTCTCCCCATGTAAGGGAGCATTGATACAAAAAACTGCGTTTAGAAAATTCGTACTTAATCATTAATATTTCTAAACATAAATCTTATTAAAATGTTGCCAATGCATTAAAAAATAGGGTAAAATAATTGTTTTTGATTTTTTCTGAAGTTTCTAAATTTTTTTAATTTCTTGTCAAAAGTACCAATTCTTGTCCCTCTCCCCTATATACAGTGTATGAAGTAGTGTATACAATATTATATATACAATATACAATAAGTATAAAATGTAGGAAGTTATATATAGATTATATGAATTTATATATACAATATGAAATAATATATAAAATATACAAAATAATTTTTACATATAAGCAAAGCACTATTTCCAGTTAAACAAACATTCTTTTTAAAAAAAATATTGAATTGATTATTAAAAGTCAAATTGTGGTAAAAACATGTTTTAACTATTAGTAGAAAAAATAAAGTTTTGAAAGTTTTAAAGTAAAAGTTTGTTATTAATTTATTTATTATAGTAAAATTTTTTTAAATTTTTACATACATACTTTTGTTATACACATAATTTTACATACATAATTTTTTACATACTTAATTTTACATACATACATAATTTTTTATACAGGTGACACGTAAATATGACGTGTATGACGTTTTAATATGGCGTTTAATTTATCATAAAGTTTGTAATAGTTTAAAATAATAAGTATTATTCAAATTTATACTTATATTTATTCAAGTATTTATTTTGTAAAGTTTTTTTGATAGTCCACCCAGACCTCCTCAAAGAAGAATGGGACGCATAGGTGGCGGAGGTAATTTTAGATTATCCAATTGTTTACAATAAATATATTTAGTGAAATAATTACAATTTGTATTAGAGTAATTAAATTTTTTTTTGTAGGAGGTGGAGGGTTTTCTCCTGGAGCTCTTCCCCCTGGAGGTGGATGAGGAAGGTAAGTCACGTGCTTTATGCTGAATACTAAAAATTTTTAATGTTTTACTTTATCTTATTTTCATTCAGGTAAGACCAACTGTATGTTACATTAACTTAGTTGGTCTAGCTTTAATATTGCGCAATGCTCTTGCAGAGATACTATGAAAATTTAAATTGTAGTTAATGATTTTACCCGAGGAAGTTCGTAAAGAAACTCGCGTGTGAATGATGAACTAAAGAGTAACTGTAGTTTCATTGTAAATGTGAATAAAAGATTTTTATTAGATAATTTGTGTAATCTTTGTCATTTTTGAAAAAAGTATATATTTATGTTATACTGGAGTGTTTCCAGATTATGTTTATAATCAACTCAAGTTATCAAGTTATATATAAGTTAAAGAAAATATTATCACAATCCATGCTGCTGTTTCAAATATATTTAACATGCTGTTGTTTCAAAGTTTAACAATCATTTTATTTGTATTTGTTGTGGGGAGAAAGTAGGACTTTAAAGTCCTAATTTCCCGCCACAATTTCCAAGAAAATATTACTTTTAAGTCTTAATTTTGACGTCATGGGTCATGATTTCTGAAAAGCTGAAAAGTAATCGAAAGTAATTTGTTTAAGCAGATGAAATTATTGATTTATTTTAAAAATAAAATCTTTTATCTAATTTAAAAATTAAATGAGTTTTTCGAGGATCCATATTAGTCTCCTATTTTTAATTTACATTAACGATTTAAATTCACAATTATGTTTGCTGATGATAGGAAGTTGTTTCTCTCTCATGATAACATTATGTCATTATTTAACAACATGAACATTAAACTAGTTAATGTTTCTAAATAGGTTAAACTAAACAAATTATCGTTTAATATAATAAAAGTGCAAAGCAGTTGCAAAAACTGGCACAAGTGTAAATTTGAATGATTGCGAATTGGCATAAGTGCGCCGAATAAACCTAATTACAATTTGGTATATGTCAATTCGCACTTATGCCAGTTTTTGTAACTGCCTTGCGCTTATGCCAGTTCATACTTATGTCAGTTCGCACTTATACCAGTTTGCAATTATGTAAGTTCGCACTTACGCCATTCTCACTTATGCCAGTTGGCACATACGAAATTCGCGCTTTTTTAATCGTCCCAATAAAAGGTCCTAATATATATGAGGTAATCTTTAGTTTTAAAATGTTAATGTCTTTTCCTTATATTATTTGTACTTACAAAAAGAATAAATCTATAATAAGAAATGATTATTTAATTATACTGCAGTTTAAGTGAAACCAATTTTTGAAAATTTTTTATTTTATTTCGCGGACCATTTTTATACAACAATTTAATTTTAAATGCAATTAAGAAATCAAATGATATTAATATTGTAACTTCCATTCTCTTAAATAAAATCTTAAAAAACGTATTTTTTTGATTGAAAATATTTTAATTTACTTTTAAAACATTGTTATTGTTATTATTATTTTTTAACTTTGTACACAAATATTAAATGTGAAAAATGCTTATATTATATTTTCTTTATATACTAACGTGCAACTACTTTTATTACGTTATTGTGTATCTTTTACGTAACTTCTTTATGTAATTAAATAAAAACTATTATGGGTGTAACTCTTTATTTTTTGAATTAATTTTTATGCAATATTTCAAGTAAGTTTAGAAACCCTCTTTGTCAAGTGTAATATATAATTTTCTTTTATGTAGATTTTTTTAAATTAATTGTTAAAACTGTAAAACGAATTGTATAAAAGTCGTAATCAAAAGCAGAATAAAATATATATATATTTTTTGTTTTTTATTACGACATAAACAATGTTCTTTGTAAGAGCTTTTTTTTGTTGATATGAGATCCTTGTAAAAAAAGGATTTAAAAAGTGATAGATGTCACTAAATATTTATGGTTTGTGTCACGTGGTATGACGTAATAGGCCCCTATAGCAAAAAAAGTTTTAATCGTTATTTTAAAAATATTTTATACCATTAGAAAGAGCATTAAATAAGCTTTCAAAATCGTATAAAAAACATGTTGAAAATTTTTACTTCATAAGATATAGGACATTATGTACGTTACCAAACCGGGAGTTATTTACAAAAATTAACACTAGTTAAAAATTAAAAAAGTAACAGTAACTAATTTTCTAGGAGTTTGTTTAGATAAAAATCTTAGATGGAAAAATCACATTAAATACTTATCAAGTAAAATTTTAAAAAATATAGGAATATTGTACAAAGCGAGAAATGTCTTAAATAAACAAACTTTAGTACAATTATATCACTCATTTATTCATTGCCACATAAACTATGCAAACATTGCTTGGGGTAGTGCAAATAAAAACAAACTTAAACCTCTTTATTGTCAGCAGAAGCATGTAGCACGTCTTATATATTTTAAAGACCGTTATACTCATGCCAAGCCTCTTATTTGAAATGAAAGTTTTTAATATATATGAGATTAATATTTTTAATATTCTTTGTTTTATGTTTAAATGTAAAACCAATTCATCCCCGATTTCTTTCCATAATTTGTATTCATCAAAAGATAAAAATAAATACATTTTACGCAATAATAATTTTATTAAGCAGCCCAATTTTCAAACAAATCTTTTTAAATTTTGTATTGATTATCGCGGACCATTCTTATGAAATAAAATAGTTTAAAAAAAAATTTTACTGAGGATTTTATTATTCAAAGTAACTACTTTTCTTTTAAACAAAAGCTTAAAGAACTCATTTTTGCAATCGATGATTTAATAATATACTTCTGATATTTTTTGTGATCTTTATTTTTACCATTTATTTAAACATGAACTTATAAAAAGTATATGTGTATCCTTAACAACTATAATTTACATATATAATAGATAAAACGCATCTTGTATTTATTATGGATTATTTTAAGTTTCTTACTTTTGTTAACTTATTGTTATTTTTTAACCTTGTAATTATCTTTTAAATTTTAAATTTTAACACGAACATTTCTTAGCGGTACTTGACGACAAGACCGTATGGTCTTCTACGAGTCCCCGCGTTCTTTTATTTTCTAATAACGACCATTATATTTATATATAAATTTATTATTATATATTTGTATTTGAAATATTGTAACGAAATGCTTATTTTACATGTAATAAAAGAACAAAATATATATATATATATATATATATATATATATATATATATTAAGTAAAACTGAAATAATTAAGCTAATATATATATATATTAATATTGGCATTGTTTAAACATATAAACAATATCATATGTAAACCAAAATAGTAGTTACAATATACAATGTTTAATTAAGGCAAAAAAGGACCCCCGGAAAATATTTAATTGACAGTATTAAGTCAATTAATCTTGTAATATAAATGAAATTAAAGACATTTATTGAATGAAAAGCTTCAAATATTCTAAGACTTCATTCTTAAACTCAAAAATCTTCAAAATTTTGGAAGTATATGTTAAAATTATCGTGCTTACAAGCTGGTATTTAATAATACGAATAAATAAAATTGCGTCTTATTATCTCTACATACATCTTCATAGTTCTTCTACATTATTATTTTTACATCCTTTACACTTGCACATATCAGTACAGACAAGTTTATTTTTCAAACATTTGCATCTTTTATTATTACAGTCTCCTTTACAACGAAAGACACTCAACTCGATAAGTGCTATTGGTGCTGGTAGGTTATCAGTCATTATGGGGTTAAAAGATCCATTGTTTAGTTCCCAACCATACTCCACAGGCGATGGTAGATACTGTACGGGCATGTTAGAGCGTTTAAGCACTAAACATACAAAGTGATTACGGAATATATGGTACTTAAGGACATTCATTGTTGGTGGAAGTTGTGCAGCGTCATACGAAATTTAGAGAAAAGAAACTAACGAAGTTGTGAAAGAGTATTAACATCTTTTGTCCGTTTTTTATCACCGTAAACTCTAACAACAAAACGTTCAATGTTGTTTATTGTAAACAGATCAGGTAAAGCTTCTGATTGAGCAAGATTTGATAGAGCAGCTTGGGTTCCATCGTCAGCTTTTATAAATTCTTTCCACCATAATGTTTTAGCGATTCCAGAAAAGTATTCAAATTGAAAACCTAAAGAAATGAAAAATTTCACGAAGACCCTTACTTTCATTAGAAATGAGAAACAACAAAATATAAACAAAAATACTTAAAATAGCTTGTGCTTGTTTAGAACCAATTGCTTCGTAACATTTTTGAATCGAGGTGTCTTGTTCCTTATCCCCTCTACCAGTTCGGAAAAAAAAATTATAACTATCAAAACTTCAATAATTATTACTAAGAAGTACGTCCTTGTTGTGTTTCGTATGCATTATTATATTTTTTTTTGTTTAATACATAACAATTTATTAAAAAACTGTAATTGCTAGTAGTGCCTATATTATCTATTTATTCAGCATTGATCATAGTAATTAATAATGTAATAAGATGCTCGTTGTCAAATTCAAGGTTATCGTTAAAAACAAATCAAGCAGTAATAAGAACCGTGTGCATCACTTATAATTTAAAAAATATAGCAGTTAACCACGGAAACCTTTTAGAGATTGTTTTACTAAGAGCCAAATCTAATATTGATTTAAATGATCACATTACAAAGACAGTAGTATAAAATGAAAAACGAGCAAAATGTAGAAAAAAAGGTAGAGAAAATTTGTTTACTCTTTTAAGTCCCACAACTGTAACAAACATTATTCATAACTGTAACAACTATTTGTAAATTATTTTTATTAAAGATATCTGAAGAAGTAAATTCAACTGGTATTCATTCAATTACTATGGATACAACTATGGATATATCTACGCATGATCAATGTGTATTTGTTTTGCGGTATATTAGTGAGAGAACTGAAGACACCAGATCTATAGTTGAAGTTGTGGAATGAGTTGTAGCATTAAACAACTTGAATTCATCTTTAGGACAGGACTTATTTGATTTATTAAAATTATGAACATTAACTTAGATAGTTGTTTAGTAGATGCTTTTGATGGTGCTGCCAATATGAATGGCTAATATAAAGGAGTTGAAGTTAAACTCAATGGAGTGATACCAAGGCATATTTATAGATGGTGTTACGCTCATGGGTTAAATCTAGTCTTACAACAAACTACTTCTTGTTCAGTTACATTAATTTCATTTTTTGGACTTCTTCAAGAGTTATATATTTTTTTCAAAGAATCTTATAAAAAACTCAATGTTTATGAAAATCATAAAAATCCCAGTCGTCCGTCACGTTTGATAAATATTGGTAAAACTTGATGGTGGTCTAAAAATGACGCGATTATTAAGATATTTGGTCGTAATGATATGAGAAATGAAAGAACTAAAAATGATAACAGAAAGCGATTTTCTTATGTGCAAATTGTATTTGCACTTTGTAAAATTTATGTTACTAATTATTTTTCAAACAGCGTAAGAAGTACAGCTCAAAATTTTAAGCATGGAGAAAAATTGGTAAAACAATAACGCCTATAAAAAAAACCAAAATTTTTACATATCAGAGCAGGAGCAAAAATAACCATTGAATTTGTATTTAGTAAAACTTTTGTATTTAGTAAAACTTTTGTATTTAGTAAAACTTTTGTATTTAGTAAAACTTTTGTATTTAGTAAAACTTTTGTATTTAGTAAAACTTTTGTATTTAGTAGAACTTTTGTATTTAGTAAAACTTTTGTATTTAGTAGAACTTTTGTATTTAGTAGAACTTTTGTATTTAGTAGAACTTGGCAAGAAGAGTCACACATTAATATAAAATTAGAGCTTCCTAAAAAGAGAAGAAAAATTATTTAAAAACGTTATAGAGAAAATTCAAGTACAATCCAAAACATTGTAGAAGGAGATCTCCTATGTTTTGGAACAACTATCATTTGTAAAATTCTAGCCTCAAATATCCAAAACTGATATTAGAGATGAACATGATGTTTAAAAAAACCAAAGCAATTTGCAAGAAGATTTGAAGATTCTGAAGATTTTGAATACTCTCATAGATACTCTCAGGAAAATGACAATTTTAAGTGTACAAGAAAAAAAAATGTAACTCATGTTTATTATGTGTAACAAATGTTATTTATGAATTCAATATGTATTCTTTAGAGTGTAATGAATTATTTGAAGTAAACAAGTTTCTTTTAGCAATTCCTCTAACTCAAATAAGCCGTGACGCAGTGGTAGCGCACTTGTCTCAGAAACGTAAGACTTGTGGTTCAAACCCCACCTCTAGGCAAGCTTTGTGACATCGGTTGGGAAAGAGGCGTGAATTTCCTATTAAATGCTCTTCAGCGGTGCTCTGTGATAAGACCACAAGGACTTCTTGGGGCACCTAAATCAACTTAAAAAAAAAAAAAAAAAAGTAACATGTGAACGATCGTTTTCAAAACTTAAATTATAAAAATACGTTAAAGATGTTGTTTAACACAGGAGAATTTGGAATCATTGTTTTTGATGAACTATGAAAGAAATTGTTAGCAGACATTACACCGGATCAAAACATTAACTTAATGCAATAATGCTTTATGAATAAACTTTGAAATGTTAAGAATGTTGAAAGTTTAGTACATTTTATTGAATAATTTCAACTATTTGTATATTATTTTCTCTGTGTTAACCTATTTTTAGTAACATACTATTCATATTTTATAGTTTACACCACGCAATAAATATCACTTAAATAAAAATAATTATGTTAATATTGTTGTGTATTTATTAATTTTTAAGAATTTAAATTATTTTTATTTTTAAGAATATAAATTTAAATAAAGATTTGGTTTTGTTATTTAGGTTCATGTTAATTGTAAAGTTTTTTCTTGCTCGGTGTAGTTAAGGCGATTTACAAAATATTTGAATACTTTTATTTGGAATTAGCATGGTTTTGTCTGCATATTATGCCCAAACAAGATCTTTAAATGTTATAATTTTCTTTGCTTAAGGTTTTATCGACCATAGTATTACTATGGTCGATTATATATATATTTAGACGTATGAGCTTTAAACTTTAAAACTCTCTTATGCCTTCTAGAAGCATTCGTTAGTAGAACAGTTATCACCAAATATTCAGAGTATTGGATAAATAAAGTGCAATTTTTACAAAATAAATTTTAACTTATTTTGTGCACTTTAGAAAAGGACTGGACGCTAAAAAAATGCAAACAAATAATCAAAGGAATATTGCAAGTACACAAACTCTCTGTTTCTTTTGACTATAAAAGTAAAGCAATGCTTCAAAATTACCCCAATAAACTCTTTTGCGAGAAATAAATTACGATTTAATTAGAAACAAATCTGTTATAATTTTTTTTGATTAAAAATACGTTTCTCAATTACAAAGTATTTTAAATTTACATGTTTCAGGTAAAAAGGTGAAATACAGTTAAAAAAGAAAAGCTACATAGATATTATCTACCTAGCTTTTCATTTTCACAGCAAAATATTTATTATATCAAAAGATTCATCATTACAATTTGAATATAATTTTTAATATAAACATGATTAAACTATTTCTAAAGAAAGTTGGAGACAATTTTTAAGTAGAGGGCGATGGTAGCTAATAGATCATTTTTTAAGTAGAAGATAATGATAGCCAATATATCATTTTATTAAATAATTATTTTTCGACTATTAGTTTATAAATAAAATATAAATGCAAAAATTTTCAATAATTTTTTAAACTTGAGATTTTGAATTTTTTAATGACAATCAAAAGAAACAATTAAAACAACCTAAAGACTTCCATGTTAAACTAAGTATTTAAATAACTATTAAATTGATTTAGTAGCGAGTCAACAATATAATTACAATATTATTGGAAGTTGTGATCAAAAGTCTTTTGATCACAACATCTATTGTAATTATTTCGTAGATCCAAGAATGCAAAAGCTGTAGTTTGTCATTTATAACGCAAAATAGTTTCATGTTAAAAACAACTAAGCATCTAAAATGATTTAGTCCATTCAACAAAACGACTATCGCTTAACCGCGGAAACAAGACTCTGATTTTTGTAATAATTCGGAGTATTTTGTTATTTTTATTTTGTGTGCGCGTCATTTTTTTTTTAGATTAACGCAGTGTATCTAGCATATTTTGGTGTTTGAGACAGCTAACTTCCAGTCATGGAACAATCTCCAAATATTTATATGTTTATGCTTATATCAAAAAAGAATTCATTGCAAAAAATTGAAAACAAAAAAAATTGCAATGATTGGAAACAAAAAACCCCAAAATTTGCCAAGCGTCAGAGAAGTAAGTTGATAAAATTTTCTCCTGTTTTCAACTAAATAAATATTCATTATGAATTTTTAATTACATGCAATAATCTTTTGCGTTTAAATATTATGACCAAGTAAATTTTAGACCTCTCTTAATTTGAGGGGGTTTCATATTTTTGCGGTCATAATTTTTGAAAGTTGAGAGTTTATTCAATGAAAATATAAAATATACTTAAGGTAGTAGAAAATATATTTTATCAACATTTTGCTCTCACGTTTGGGGCGAGGGCGTTGCAAATTTTTTTTTGCCCCCAGGCTCCAATCATCGCAATTTTTTACAAAGCATTATTTAATATAAGTATAAATATATAGATATTTGTATTTTGCTCTGTTTGGAAGTTAGCCTTTGAAATGCCAAAATGATGGATCAACCACCTATCAAGTGGATTACAAAAATGCGTCTAATCTCATGAGTTAAAAAAAATTAGCTTGTATTCTGCTGTAAAAAAAAAAAAAATTATTTGTATTATAAAAAAATTTACAAAAATAAAATATTAATACAAAAATACTAATATTTAAAAAAAAAGAAAAAAAAAAGTGGAAAGTTTAACTTTATCACTCTTTTATTTCCCTAAACTGTAATATGTTTTTAGAATTTCAAATAAAAAAAAAAATGGTAACTGCTTTTACACAAAAATTCTAAAGAGCACGTTAAAGAAAAAACTTATAACGTTCTACAGTCCCTTTAACAGACACGATTAATTTTAATCATCAAACTAATATGTTTTAGAATATTGGCATATTTTTTATTGTAAATTAAAAAAAAAAAAGAAAAAAAAAGCAGAAAAAAAAAAAAAAAAAAAAAATTAATTCTTAATCAGACGAATGGCTCAGATATAAGTGAGATAAATAATAGATATAAATGAGATAAGGTGAAAGATTATATTTTTTATTAATCTCAGATATACGTGAGATTAATAATAGATATAAGTGAGATAAATAATAGATATAAATGAGATAAGGTAAAAGATTATATTTTTTATTAATCTAAATCAAAAAATAACTTTAATTTTAAATATAAATAAACTTTATGGAATCAGTTAAAATACCGATGCACCCGTTCCCATAGTAGTAAACTTTGTCGGATATGAGATAAAATAATAAAGTAAAAGATTATATTTTTTATTAATCTGAATAAAAAAACAAAATAATTTTAATTCTAAATTAATCTTGTAGAATCAGTCACCCAAAATATCGATGCACCTTTTCCCATTTCCCATAGTAATAAACTTTGATGAATTCATAATAATTTGGAACATGTATTTATTTTAAAATAAGTCTCATATTTATAGTACAAAATTTTAATATACATAAAAAATAAAAAAAAAAAAGATAACGCTACAAAGGATAACCCTAACAGCGTATAAAACTATAAATTTATATATAAAAAGTATTTAAACGGTTTAATAGAAATACGATAATAATATAAATTTCTTGAAAAGCGCAAGCAATTGGTGAGCTTTATTTAAATTACAAAGTGTAAACCAAACTTAATCATTAATTAAAGGTTGGTTGTCGTCATCATACTCGCAATCTTCATCATTTTCATGAGATTTTTGTTCGTTTGTAACAGTTATAGATTCTGATAGACTACTAGGGAAATTCTTTTGTACTTCAGCATACGCAGCTCCACAACAGGGTTTAAGAACAAAATGTTCAACAGGACTAACAGATTCTGTAATTTCTTGAATTGCACCTGCTTCTGTAACTTCTTGAATACTTTCGTATGCATTCTCACCAGAAATTTCATTTTGAGAAGCATTATTTGCACAAGCAGTATTCTCTGTAAAAAAAATAATAATATAAGTTCTTTTTAACAAGTTGTTTCCATACAAAATAAACACTTGTTTATAAAAAAAATTATATCTTATACCATATTAGACGGGGTTGAAACTCGTCAAATATAATGATATGTTAAATTTTAACTATAATAATAAACAAAAATATCAACCAAAACTTCGGTAGATTACTTTAAAAAGATTTATTGCTTAAAAGAACTGAAATATTTTAAATAAATATAAATAAATTATAAATCTGAAAAATTTAGAATTTTTTTAAAGATGTAATTATTTTTACCATTATATGGTGGTGGCTGAAGTCTTCGAGCCAACATAGCTTCATCGTATGATGGCAGTACAACGTGAACATCATTAGAATAATAAACAAAGGAACATCTATCATCATCTCCATTAATATACCGTTGACGATTTATTCTGCGAGCTATTCGTCGTCTTTGACAGGCAACAGCTACAATGAGCAACAAGAGAAGCATAAGAAGACCTCCAGCTGTGCCAGCAACAAGAATAAGCGGTTGAGTAGAAGAGTCTTGTTTCGCTACGAAAAATTTCAAATTATTAAAATTTAAACAACTGTTATCGATTTAGCTACAAAAAACTAATAACATTTCGGATATGAGTTTGTGTGATTGTGTGATTGTGTGTGTGTGTGTGTGTGTGTGTGTGTGTGTGTGTGTGTGTGTGTGTGTGTGTGTGTGTGTGTGGTGTGTGTGTGTGTGTGTGTGTGTGTATATATGTATACATATACAGTTATGAGTGTGAAAATAGCAGTACCTGGAATTTTTTGAATACCATTGAGCAATATTTTTTTACTAACTACTGAAGAAATTTTATTATATTGATTTTGACACTTCAATACATACCATTAATCTCATAAATACGACATCATTATATGAGAAGCAGCACCATACAATGACACTACGAATACGATGACACCATGTTTCACAGACTAATTGCATAATTTTTAAAATTCTGTATTATCTGGACGTCTTACATATTGTCTTGAACCTGCACCTCTATAAAGAATGATTTTCGATTCATTGGTCCATAATACACTGCGCCACTATTTGATGAGCCAATTCAGATGTTGGTTCACAAATTGCAAACGTTTAGCAGTATGTTCTTTTGTCAACAAAAGGACCTTTCGTGGAACGTGTGTATATAAACTGTTCCTCTTAAGTAACTATGAACAGTTGTATCACTCACTTGTAATTCAAGAGCATCTTTGATTTGCTTGGCCAATGAAAATGGTTTGCTTTTATCATATCTAACAATTAATTCCAACAATTACTGTAAAATATCAGAGTATTAACAGTACCATGTTGCGCATGCATGGTGTCTCTGTTTGTACTTATGGTGTGCATTATTGAGGCCACATTTAGAGCTCTTTGTTACGGCTTAAGGCTTATTAATAGTAATTAGGCAATTGCTTGGACTATTAGATAGTGTACTGAGTACTACCTGTGCTTTGAGTCTACCTATCAGGTAATGTACTGAGAACTACCTGTGCTTTGAGTTAGAAAAAATGACTGAAGTGTCAAAAACAATATAACACAAAAAACCATTGTCATCGGCAAATTTCATAAACCTATCATTCACTAATATTCGTGGACTTCGAAATAACTTTTCTTCTGCTGAGTCTTATCTATTGCAAAGTACACTATACTTAATTGCTCTCTGAGACTAACTTGAGT